ATATATATATATATATATATACCAACGTACTATTAATCAGGCAGTTCAAATAAAACCAAATTCAACCCCAAGAAAAGTAAATTTCTCAAAATCTTTTTATCTATGAGTTATTCAGTGATTCGATATATTCGATACACTATTTTCCCAAGTTTCATACTTGAAGAAGTCCTACCTAGAATATTCTAGTTGCTTATTCTGTTACGCAACATTTGTTTAAAGGTGCTAGGGTATTTCTAACCCGTCAAACACCGATGCCACTATAAAGAGATGAATAAATTATGGAGCGAAATTAGTACGCAAAACAGGTTGCCAAAATCTAGCTCTTTGAGTAGGCATGATTCTCAGTAGTGGAGAATACAGTCTCGAGAAGCACACGGTGCGAAATCACAACTTTAGCTTGATTCGCTTTCCACTCGCAACCAATAGCGATGTCGCACAAGAAAAACTAGTCACTGCATTAAATCCTCTTCCGTTGCTCTTCACACACGAGCGCATTTCATTTTTGCAAAACTCTAACGCCCAAAGAATAGCTATGACTACCAATCTTACCCCTTCATCAGACCTAAAGTTAGTCGTCAAATTGAATAAACGTCTGGCGATAAAACCAAGAGAGGATCTACTTACTCGCAACCTTGTTGATATTTACAATGAATACGATGATAATAGGAATCACCATGAGAAACGATTCAGTTCAAAGTTAGTGGCAACCAGAAACGAGCTGATTATTACCAAGGGATCATGGTGGCCAAGTGGACCAGTCGTACCGGCTTTGGCATTCCGGAATATCCTCCAGTTCTCCTCCATTCCTGGTCGTCCTGCCAAACTCCTTCTTCTAGTTAAGAATGACGAGGGAACAAAAACGGAATTGATTGTTCTTAAGACTAAGGGACAAATATATACAAACCAACTTCTGAATTGTCTTCATAAATATGTCAATGCTGCTCAACTGGGTCTGGTTCAGAATTCCCCCAAAATAAGTACTCGCGATTCACGCCCAATGAGTTATCAAATGGAAGTAACCTCATCCGTCATTCCTTCTCCAAGGATTACTACCAACTCTCCCATGCAGAAGCGTCGGCCTCCCCCAAGTAAACCTGTTGAAATAGTGGCTCGGGAGCCAAGAAAAGAGACAGAAGCTGAAAAGATAATTACGCCTCAACGAATTCGAAATCCTCCACGCCCTGAAAGAGTCAGAAGATCGATTCAACAGGAATCCCTTTCTACAACTAATGGCAATCTTAATGAAACCTACTCTCGAACAACTTACGATCCTGAAACAAAGATAGAAACTCTTGATTCTGTAGTCGTATATGGTCAACATCCCGAGAAAGTGTCAGAACTGGCGAAGAAAAAATTAAAGTCGAAAAAATCGAAGTCTAGGCCTCCAAGGGAACTGAGTTCACTTAGTGGTGGACGAAAAGTCTCAAGGGAGCTAGATGAAAATAACACTCCTTGGGAGGTCAATATATGCTATATAAAGCATGATCCCCTTGTTGGCTGTGTAGAGGACGAGTCAGGACCAATATACATGTATACGGCACATCAGTTAGTTTCTCGGGACGACTATGACAATTATGACTCGGATGAGAGTGATGGAGATGGCTACTCAGAAGAGTCAAACAGTGAGGACGCCAGCTCCTCAGATAGCCAGAATAGTATGGATGAGAACAAGGAGTTAGAGAGATTTATGATGCTTGGGGGAAGCCAAAATGTCACTGCAATCAATGAAACCAATGGAAAAAATGGTAAATTGAATGAAATTTATGAGTATTAACTGATATCTCGATCATCCTCAGCATGTTGCACACAATTTGATTACGTACATGTACTAAGCCTTGATTATTTTTTAGGAACAGGTTTACACCTTTTCGATGTTTAAATCAAAAGTTTTATTTGTACAATATTAATATCAAAACATTTCTGATTCTTTATTATATCTTTATTTCAAATGGCAGGCGTTTTGATAGTTATCATTAGC